TCGTAGAACATTTTCGCTAAGGAAAAAGTTGCTACAAACGACCCCAGGAACCCCTCGTTTCCCGGAAATACCATAATTTTGGGACACTCTGTGTACCGACATGCATCCGACGACCGGTATGGACAAGCGCCGAATACATCTGGCATTCGTGCGAGCCATATTTCTGACATATTAGAAATTATTCTAACAAAGTCTTTTCTTACAATGATTCCGAGAAAACAGCTACAGGTATAATCGTCGTTTGATCCGAATTGATTTACAAAATTTGAGGTTACATTTTTGTTCGAAACTTCTTCATAGATTTGAACATATTGTAGGCCCTTTACAGAATGTTTGCAGGAAACGAAAGATTTAGAAACGGATTAAGCACAGTTGTTACTTAAGAAAATCTTCGTACAAAAGTGGTGCTATGTGCGCGTTTTCGGCGCGGCACCCCGTACACTGAGAGTGTCACGGCTGACAGCGCGCTCGTAACGAAAGGGTTAAAATTTCCCGCGATCGGAATTCATCGTTCATCGCGTCGCGAATTCGATTTTCACTCGAGTCTGGCGAGGGAAACGAACTCGATCAGCGTCCGCGACGGTTACGGAAGCGATTTCCAACGATGTTTCTATGATAAATCTTGTCTTCCTTATTCTTCCATCGCGTTAAAAAGGAATCGCTCGGGTTTTCCACGAATTTTACGAGCAGCGAACGCGCTAACGAAAGCGTGGAAAACGGGCGATCGTTTCCCATAGTTTCCGAACGATCGAGCATCGCGTCCGTTCGAGAGCGTTGCTTTATCAGCTGTGCCTGAAAAATATCGGGGACCTTGATGCCTGCCGAGTAAATACGACTTTCGAAAGATAATCGCCACGGCCTTGAGGGGAACGGGGACGCGCGCGGAGAAGAGGGAGATATCGCGGCTCGTTCGACGTCGCGGTCGGTATTGATTCGAGTTCGGATACCTGCGTGTTCCCTGGTGTGATCCGCGGGGCTCAGGGTCTCTCTCATCGACAGGGACATCAGCAGCTCCTGCGTGAGCTTCTGTTTGCCGAACGCGACCGCCCCGCTGCTCACCATAATGCACTCTCGGCCCTCGTTCTGGCATTCGGCGACCTGCTCGACGATCGAGGCCAGCCGTCCCAAGGCCAGCCCGTGGCCGTCCTCCCTCGTGATCACGGCGCTGCCCATCTTCACCACCAAACGACGCGCGTACTTCAGCTGACTCCTCTCGCTGAATGTCGTCGACGTTCTAGGCCGTTCCGCCGTTTGCAGATCCCTCCGCAGGTCCACTCTGGTTCCCTAAAAACGTAACCGCCCACCGTTAAATTCACCGTTCGGACGAATTCGCCGCTCGAGGAGCCGTTTCGTCCTTTCGAAGCGGTTTCCCGCTCGCTTACAAATTCAACCCTTTGCCATACTTCGACGAGTCCGACTCGCGACGAAGATTTCCAGCGATGAAGTATGTTGATACATTGCTGACGGAAGTACGGCAATTGCTTGTAAACAAAAATGATCGATTCGGGAAGATTATTCGATGATTATTCGAGCCTCGCGACTCGTTTTTAAAGTTCTCGACGATCGGCAAATACAAAAACGAGCCGCGAAGCTCGAACGATCGTCGAATAATCTTCCCAAATCGAGCATTTTTGTTTACGAGCTGAGGAACAGAGGATTGGATTTACAGAGGATTACTGTATTTACTCAAATTTGAAAATAAAATTCTGTGTCGTGGAACGTAAGTTTTCAATTTTGATTCGGCCGAACAAAATAGTTCGATCTTATTCAAGTTTTCACGACGCAGAAAGGAAGCTAGTTGCACCCAAATAAGGTATGCACCCCGATACATACCATACGATAATAAACGCATCTCTCGTAATTTTGTTTTCTTGACGCATTTATACGATAATAGTGTTGCGTTAATATTATAATATTAGGTTGGAAACTATGAAACGGACGTTTTCGTTTAGACTGTGTTCAGCTGCGACCGTGTTCATTGTAATGTGCGCTCGATATGTTTACTTATAAATTTTAAAGGTATTCTTCTTGCTCATTTCGTAAAATTGTTTTCGCGTTTGTATCCCACTTTTACTTTATTTTTCTCCGAAACCAGATGGGAACAAAACGCGATTTGCATCGTTCAACGCCCGTTTCATAGTTTCCAACCTAATATTAATGCCGCAATATTAATGTTATTATTTAATGCACGCGATAAATAGAATTTTTCGTTTACTTTCACGAAATTATTAAACGGAGAAATTAGTACGACAAGAGGGGATCGATGAAACAGCCTTTTCCGGCGCAACGAGATGGCCACTTTGCCCGTGCAAAGCTGCCTGCGAAGAAAGAGAGAGTTTAGCAACGGTTAGCCAAAGAATTCGAAGAAAATTCCACGAAAACCAACGGAATAATTTCCTTCGTTTGGACGCGGAGAGGAAACGAGCGAGCGCGAAACGGTTCGTCGAAACGCCGGTTTCTTCCCATTCAAGCGCCGGGAAACGCGTTAATTTACGCATTCGAACGTTACCGGCGCGGGTCGTTTGTGCACGAAACCGGAGGCTCGCTTTGCCAAGGTGTAACTTTGTTCATCGGGAGGCAAGACGCGGCCGCATTCAACGGAGTACAGTCGTTAAAATTTAACGCGGCGTCGCCTCTCCATTCGCGGATGAAAAAGCTCGAACAAGTTTCAACGTCTTCCGCGGCGTTCAAACCTCGCGGGATAAGCGGGCCGCCGTTTTCTTCTATCTGTCGCGGCTACGAGTCGGCCGAACAGTGTCCGAACGGTATTCGAACGGTCCCAACGGTCCCAATGGTCCCAACGCGCTCGCGGGAGAAGGAAAGTTTGCCGGCGAGACGATCCGAAGACAATTAGACGCGCGGCCGTTTATCGGCGTGCCCTCGAGACGATGCTCGTTATCTCGGCGCGACACTCGACCTGGGAAAAATTGCCGCGGGCCAATTTGCGCTCGCTCGATTCTGGATCGCCACTCGACACAGTTCGAGAACGGCCACGTGTGGCTCCTGCGCGCGAGCTATCGGTTACATAAAGGCCGCAGATAAGTCCGCGGCGGCCGCGGTCACTATCGGGCCGAATGGCGCGAGGGAGATTAATTCGCGCGTCGGAGTCGCGGCGCGGCCGAGGGAAAGGAAGCTCTGCCGGAAAAATCGCGGATACGTAATTGCGCGAAACGCTATCGCCGGCTGTGCGAGGGAGAATCTCTCGGTGCCGATTTCCCCCGTTCTCTCGAAATAGCCGATCGCCGCGGCAACTCGGCGCGTTTCTGTGTTTAAAGTTTACGAAGCTCGCCGGTCTTTCTTCGAGGGCTCGAGAATGTTTGCGACGGGCTTCAAAATTCGAGAACCACGAGGACGAGGCTGCTCGGCGCGGGTTCGACAGAAACCGCTGGGACAAGAATCCCTCGAGCACCTCGAGCTTTATTTCTGTAACGATCGGAAAAGTTTCCGCTGTTCCGCCGCGGAACCCGTTTACGAGCGTCCCTCGAACCGTGAGCGGTTTTAAAGAGCTCGCGGAATCGGAGAAATTAAATGAAGTGTGACGGAAGACGCGTCTCCGATTCGCGCAGCCCTCGAGCTAACCGAATCGAGTACCAACGATTTTCGAGGTCGTTCGGAGAAGCTTTCCCAATGTTTGTTTCACCGGCAACAACGGGTCGTCGACGGCTCGTTCGTTGGAAGAGTCGGCTCTCGATCGACGGGCAACGCGCGCGCTCGCGGTCTCCAGTGACATCTCACAGAGTTATCGTCGGAACGACGATCGGCGATCCGTTCGTCATCGATCCGTCAGAGGCGAGCGACAGCCGGGATTATATTGTTACGTCGCGGCAAGGACGAACCGTATTTTCGCGATACCGGGCGGATTACGCGCGGTTTTTTTTCCAAGACGCGATCGACAGCGCCGATTCTGCGTCCGCTTCGACGCGGATCCGAGCGGTTTCGCAAACCCGAAGGTTACCGATTGCGCGTTATAAATCACACAGCACGGCTCTTATCTGCTCGTCTAAGTCGCAGTACGCTCCGGGCCGTATCGGTTCCGAATTCTAACGCGCGGCGCAATCGCGATCGTTATTGCAGTCGCGCATGCCACCAGCCCGTGCCGAGCGCGTAAACAAACGAAGCGATCCTCGCGGCTCGATGTTCCGTTGAAAATCCTCGTTTAACTTCTAGCACAGTTTCTAGCTCGTGGCGCTCGTTAGGAGCAGCGGGAACGAGTTTGCTCGAAAATGCGCTCCGCGAATAGGCTAGAGAAGCCATAAACGGTTCGAAACACGGTTTCGGGAGATCGGGCGACGATTAAACGGAGAACGTTACGCTCGGCCGATATTCGGAGCTGTTCGCAGAATTTCTTCGCCAGATTTTTGCCTCTTCTTCGGCAGATCGAAGAAGACGATTCTCGCTCGACAGACGTAAACCGCGATCCGTCAAGCGTTCTCGCAGCGTCGATCCGTCATCGACGATTTTCGCCTCGTTCGGCAACGAGAACCGTCTGCTGGCATTTGTTTATCGCCGGCTGCGATCGAAGGGTTCGGCAAAAGCCTGCCGCGTTTAAAGGGGAGGGGGGCCGGGATCGAAGGACGCGCGATCAAGGTCGATCCGTCAACCCCGCGGGTTATTTTCCGAGCGACGAACGAGCCGATCCATCGATCGCGCTGGCACGACGGAACGCTTCGTATTGGCTGTCCGAGATGATTTCTCGCGTCGACGTCGACGTTGACGTCGACGGAAAGTTCATCCCGACGGAACGCAACGGAATGCGGGCCACGAGGGAACGACGGGACGCAGCCGGGAGACGCAAACCGGGCCAAGATAGCGCGCGAGCCAGCGATATTTATTTCGTTCCGCGTTTGCACACACGCACGGACGGTATCAGTCGCGTTACGCGGCCCCGCGATAACGTCGCGTTACATTTATTGCGGCGCAGCCAATTAAGCCGGCAATCATCGGCGACCCGCGGCGCGACTAGAAAATTATTGATGCACGGCGCGATCGGGAATTTACCGGTCCCTCGATCTAATTCGGGCCCCGGGCGTCGTCGCTCGCGAAAAACAATGCACAGCAATGTCTCTCTAATTGACGCTCGAATTGACCACAAAAATGGACAACTTGGGAAGAGGAGATGCGATTATACGAGCCTTGTGGCTCGTTTTTACATCTATTGGCAATTGGTAACTATAAAAACGAGCTGCAAGGCTCCGACAATCGCATCCCCTCTTTCCAAATTGTGGACAATCCGAGCGTCGGTAAGGGAGACATTACGGTATATATTCGGTCGATCGCGCGACGCGCTATCGCAGAACGCGTCGCGGTGCAATTTTTCACTCGACGATGAAACACCTTCGAACGCGTTCTCGATCGAAGCGAATTAAACGCGTCGCGGAACGGTGAACTTCAGGATCAATTGGAGCAATCGCGATCGTTCGCGTTTAGAATCGTCGGACGGAGAACGGCTCGATCGCGGTTGCACTCGCCGCGTTTCTACGCGTGCGAGACACGGGAGGAACCGCGACGAAATTTCGCGACGGGTCGGCGATCGATCGAGACGAGGAAGCGACGGGAAATCGAAGAGTCGAAATTCGGAACGCGAAAGCAGCGACGGCTGGAAAACGGCGAGGAGACTTCGGTGCAACTTTTTTTTTTCTCAGCGATTGTCTGGACGAGGTTGCCACCCCCGTCGAATCGCAGGGACAGCGTGAATATTTTACGGTCGGGTCCGTCGTCGTTCGGGTCGCGACGCGAGATGAAAATTCCTCGCGGGAAGAACCGAGGGGGGTACCGGGTTAAATTATTCAAACAGAAGTTCGGTCGACGTCGCAGTGTCCCGGATCGCTACTCTCTCTCTCTTCCTCTCTTTTTCTTTGCCGGTAGGCAAACATTTGGCTGGTTAATCGCGGACAAAAGCGGAAGAAATAAGAATCGATCAGCCGGGCCGGCCGGCTCGGACAGCTTCGTCTCGAACATTTATTAATTGCGTCGGCGAGCGACGTCGAACGAAAAATCAAAGAGAGAAAAGGAGGAGAAGACGAAGAGAAGGAGGAGGAGGTAGAAGAAGAGGAAGAAGAGGAAGAAGAAGAAGAAGAAAAGAGGGACAGGAGAAAAGCGTTCCTCGAGTGGCGACAGTCGATTAAAAAAGGCTGCGCCGCCGCGCCTTGCGAACGCGTTAAAAATTGAATCGGGCGCCGGAGTACCCAATCGTCGGTCGCGACCCTGCGATCGATCGATCGTCCTACGATTTCTCGGGGACGAGGAACAGAGAGAGAGAAAAAAAGAGAAAGAAAGAGAGAGCGAGAGAGAGAGAGAGAGAGAGAATAATAGAAGACGGTGAGAGGAAGCACGTACCGCCGGGTCGGGATTCCTTAGTCCCGAGGTGGACGAAGCCAATCTCCTTGGATAGCGTCCAAGTTTGGTGGATCTCAGTAGTAACAGTGCCGAGTACATGGTTGTTGGCTGTTGGTTGTCGGAGTTCCTCGGCTGGCCACGCTGTTCGCCGTGTACAACACACAAATCACGATTTTCCTAATTGAACGAACGCCGCGCGACGATCGCTCTCTACCACCCGCTGGCTCTCGCGGCGTTGGATCGGAAGGGGGCGAAGTTAATTACCGATTGGAAAGAGACGTCCCCGCTCCGCGGTGGGAATCTGATAAGTGGTCGGCCGGGCGCCGCGGGAATTGCCGGGGAATCTGTGCGCGATTCGAAGAGGTTCGACCGAATCGAGGGAATCGGAACGGAGGGCTGGGAGTGGATCGGTACGTGGACCTCGACACCGAGGCTCAGCGGACGCCGCGATGGTCAACGACGCACTGCTGCTTCGGGCTCGCCGGAATCAACGCAGAAAAGTCGACGTTATCGTCGCGAGATTAAAAGTCGATCCTCGGGTAAACTGTTCGCCGAGACAAGACGAGCCGCGCGACGCGAGGGACGCGCGGGAGCGAAGGAGGTTTCGCTTCTCGGCGATGCTCGACCTTTCGCGGCGCTTCGGGATCCTCCGTATGGAGATCCAAGGCCACGCAAAGTCCGCGCCGCGCCGCGACGCGTCTTTGCACAAAGGACGCGGCGCGGCGGTGGCAGCGGCAGCGGTGCAGTTCGTGTCGGTGAACTGTGACCCCGGAGCAAACAGAATCGCTATCGTCTTCTCCTCCTGTTTGACTCGTGCCGTCCCGCGTGCGTCAGACGGGTTACTCGGGCCGATACGAGGTTAAACCGTCTTCGTGTTTGACTTCGCCAACTTGAGTTGCCAGCGGACAATCGGAAATGCTGCCGGATTCTGGACTGTTTCCTGCCCGATTCCCGCGGTTCACCGGCCTTCATTTGCCGTCACGCTCCGCCAACAGCCCCTGTGTATCCACACGCTGTAATTTCGACCCCTCCGAGTCTCGTTTTCAAAAAAACAAAAAAAATGCTTTATTCGAACAAGGTATAGTAATGTCTCTCTAATTGAAGCGCGTCGCGCGATCGGCCGAATACATTGTTTTTCGTGAGCGTCGACGCCCGAGACCCGAATTACAGTGATGTCTCTCTAATTGACGCCCAGATTGACCACGAAAATGGACAATTTGGGAAGAGGAGATACGATCGTTCGAGCCTTGCGGTTCATTTTTATAGTTATAAATTGTCCACAATTACAAAAACAATTAATTGTACCTCGCCTTCCCAAGTTGTCCATTTTTGTTTCCAAGCTCAGGATTTCAAGCTCAGAATTCCAAGCTCAGAATTCCGAGCTGAGAATTCCAAGCTCAGGATTCCAAGCTCAGGATTCCAAGCTCAGGATTCCAAGCTCAGGATTCCAAGCTCAGGATTCCAAGCTAAGAATTCCAAGCTCAGAATTCCAAGCTGAGGATTCTAAGCGGAGGATTCTCTTTCTAAGGAGAAGATCTGTTCCCAAATTATCCATTTTAGTCGACAATCTGAGCGTCGGTAAGGGAGACGTTACTGTACCCGGTATTTCTAAGCGAAATGCGACCTCCGTTTATTCGTCGAAATTTGTATCGAAGCCATCAAAGTAGGCCTTATCAAACGCAAACGCAAACGCGCGTATCCCAACCCTTCTCCCAGTCTCTTCAATATATGTACATATCGTTCGAACGTTGCAGAAAGTAATTTCTCCCGCGAATTTGTTTCATCGCCGGTTACGACGCGATTCGTGGCCGCTAGAAAAATCGCTAAAAAAGTCGCTAGAAATCGGCGCGAGAAATTTCGTCGAGAATGCAAGAATCGCGAGAAATTCTTTTGCTCGGAAATTCTTTTATTCAATCGGTAAGAATCGCGGAACAAACTCGAGACTGCCAGCGCGTCGCGAACAGCTGTTGCGAACGCAACGGTTCGCGGATCGCTATCGGATTCAGCGTCGCGACCGGGTTACAGCGACGCCGCGTACTTTCCTCCGTTACTTTCGTTATTGCTCGCGTACAAAAAATTGTTTCCACGCATCGATCGCGGGACTTGGAGAACGAGAGCACTCGGTTATCTGTTTTACGCAATCTACATTCCCCGAACGTATTAGAACGTATTAGCCGGGAAAACGTTGCGCACGCGAGGCGAACTCCGCGGCGCAATTTCGATATTACCGTCGGCGGTTGTTTACGCGCTGCGAGGAACACGGCGTCGTTCCGATCTATCTCCGGGAGCCTCCGTCGCATCGGGCACGCGTTTCCCCTGTGCCGGCTTGGCGCGCTAGGTAGGCGAGGAGACAAAATGCCGTTGATAACGCGAGATTTCTCAACCGCTCTCCATCGCGCCGTCCGATAGCGTGCGAGCTCCCCGGGAAAAGTACACCGCCGGCAAGCGATAGGGATAGACGGAGACGGATGGACGGATAAAAGAATAATAACGGAGAGAAAAAATGACGCTTCGCATCTCGACCCTTTGTCTTCGGCTGAGACGTCGCGCCGCGCCGCGCCCGACGGTGGCATTCTTCGCGAATAACAAAACGACTATCGGCCCGTGAGCCCTGCGACCAGGATTACCGGAGATCCGGGCGCTGTCAATGGGTGCATAATAGCCTAAACCCTGGAATGGGTCGCCAGATAGCCAGTTATCGGCTCCCGGGATCCATCGCGCGCGACCGTTAACCCTCGAGAACGGAGATTCCTCCGCCGCGTCGCGTATATCCCTTCGCTATTTCGCGATCCACCGGTCGCTGGTCAATCGTAGCAGCCGAGAAACAGCTTCCTGTGCTCCGTGACGGCTCGCTTTCCAGCGATCGCAAAGTCTCGGGTCTCTTGGTTCGAGAAGTACAGTAATGTCTCCCTAATTGACGCCGAAATTGTGCAGAAAAATGGACAATTTGGGAAGAGAAAATACGATTATTCGAGCCTTTTTATAATTGTTGACAATCGGTAACTATAACAACTAACCGCCAAGGCTCGAATAATTGTATCTCCTCATCCAAAATTGTCCATTTTTGTGGACAATCTGAGCGTCAATTAGAGAGACATTACTGTAAAACTATGTCGACTCTTCCAACATCGGAAATCTGCACGGAAATCTGCAGTTTGCGTTACATCTTACTCCACTACTTTAATTCTAATTAGATTTCTTCTTCTTCTTCTTATTATTATTATTATTATTACTGTTATTATTATTACTATTATTGTTGTTACATCACTTATTATTGTTAACGTTATATCGTATGCCAACGTCAATCCGCGATCATTTATCATTGTATACCAACGTCATTCCATTATCTTCTCGTCGAAGAGAAGATCCCAGAATCTTTTGCAAGCCATGATTTCACCCTTGACTCGTTCTCAAATCCTGCCTCATCCTCGATCACTGTCCTTGCCGCACTTTTTTCTCCGCTGAGCTTCTTTTCGAACACGTGCACCAGTTCAGATTCCTTCAAAACGCGCGTCTACTCGGAACTATTCGCATCATCGTCGCGAATAACCTTGACATAACCCCTTGCCGTACTCCGACGAGTCCGACTCGGCTCGTCATGAAAATTTCTAGAAATACTTTATCGAGTATAAACGTTATTCCGTCCTTTAACATTGGAATAAAGTTCTGATCTCTTGTCATCAATGTTTAAGCATTCGAGTAAATTTAGGCACGCGACAAGCATCAATTCAACCTTTCCCTTCCAAGAAATTATTGCGAAGAAAATGGCGTGTCAACGGGTTGAGAAAATAAAAGGAACCGAAACCAGAACGAGTCTCGCTAAATTCTGCGATCGGAACAAGTACCCTCGCATTTCTTGGGAAACTCTGCCGCGTTGTACCAAATAACGGTCCGTTAATTAGAAATCGCGCAAGCAACCCGGGGGAGCGAAGAAAATTATCGAGGAGGACGTTTCAATGGCGCGGAGGCCGCGCGGTGCCGCGGACGTTATTTTACGAAGCGGAGTAATGCCGGGAAATAAATTGAGCCCGGCATCTCGGCGATAAATCAGAATATTCCGCTCAAGACGTCGCGAAACGTCATCAATGGTCAGAAGCAAACAGTGTCGCATTCGTTCCCTGTCCCGTTGGATTATCCGGCGACGAAAGTTTCCGCGGGGGTGGCAGCGGGAACCGGAGCGCGCGGCCGTGCATCGCGAAAGGCGAGTCGTCGTCGTCGTCGCCGCCGCGTCGGTTCCGCTCGCTTCTGTTTCATTGAACGTCGTCGCAGCAACAGCAGCGATCGCGTTGAATTACGAACGCCGGGAAATCTAGCTGGCATCACGGTTCCCACCCGGCCAGTGTTTCCCGGTGCTCGCGCGAATTTTAATTACCGCATAGAGACGCGCGAGCGGAAAGCCGCACACCTACTCGCGACCGCGCAACGACGTCGTATTTCATACTCTCCGGCGCGTACACGTTCCCCTTCCGTGACTCGCATTTCAGGGGCACCGTGGCCGATCTTACGACCTCGGGTGGCGAAACTTGGGACAATTTGACTCGGCTATAGAGGAGACCACCAGGTTGCCGAAAGCAACCGGCAGCTTAAAGCTTAACGGACGAGTTGCTTCTTCTTTCTGGCCCGTCTTAGAAAGTCAGAATGGAAAACGTAAATTCGCGCGATCCGTCCGTTCAGCGTTGAGCAATATCGTATTCCGTTAATGAGTGATCTTGTTCGTAAAATACAACGGGACTCGAAGGAAAAGACGGAAGGTGAACGCAATAGCTTTTGCGTAGCCGTAGTCCAAAGTCAAATCGTTTTTTACTGCTCCACGCTTCGTCGAAATTCATAGCAATGCTAGAATAAAAACGATCGCTTAACCTTTTTATTTCTAATTTTTTGCCACGATTCGAAGGCGATTCGGCGGCCACGTGCCATCATTATTCGAAGGCAATTCGGAGGCCACGTGCCACGATTCGAAGGCAATTCAAAGGCAGTTTGAAAATAATTTGGAGGCAATTTGGAAGCCACATGATACGATTCGACACGTGACACGATTCGAAGGCAATTCGGAGGCCACGTGACACGATTCGAAGGCAATTCGGAGACCAGGCGTAGAACTGTCACAGGGAAATTCACAGCAACCCGAAATTTGGCATTTCCGAGAGATATTACTGCAATTGAAAATTGAATTCGATCGGCGCACAATTCAACTCGATTAGCAAAACTCGAGGAATAATCTCTCGAGAGAAATTGAATCTCTTTTTCTTCCGTTTATTCGCCGGCAAGGTATTCCTATCGCGGAGCGTACGCGGTAAGCTTCGTTTCGGATGAAAGTTGTTCGGTCTATCCGCGGTTTCGCGTCGCGCGAATTGAATTTTTTCGTTGTTTCGGCAGCTTCCGAATATAGATTCGGGTCGGGATGAAGCGGGACCGAATCGTTTATCGATATTCCGAGAGAATATCCGACCGAGAAGAAGTTCCGCGATCGCGTTCCGTAGCGTTCGCAGACGCGGAGGATCTCCATGGACCATGGGGTATGAGGGGGGAGGGTGGAGGTGGTCCATTGGCGAAGAAGGTGTTCCCGGATCCTTCTCGTA